ATAACCACAAAATTCTTTTTCCTATTTGTTTGTTACATCTTCAGGAATTTTTGGCTGATTAAGATCGAAGTGATTCCTTTAAATCTTATAGGAGTTATCTACCTTTAACAAATAAATTTGTCGTTATGTTTTTGTAACTCATAAACTGTTAGCCCTATAAACCTAGTTTTTTTATTTGAGGTACTTGGACCCTAACTAAGAAAATGAGGTCAAGGTCAAAGGTCAAGGTCATGCTCTGAATTTTGACATTTGCTTGTTTTTGCATTTTCTCTGACACTTTTTAAGAGATATATGAAAAAACTGGTGCAAAATGTTTGCTTTATTGTGATGAAGATATGATACATTAGGTCTGAAACAATCCAATGACATTTTATAGGAGTTATTGCCCCTGAAATGTTTTATATTAGGGTAAATTGATTATTACTTCAGATTGGTACATGATAAAGCCCTAAGGTCTTTTGCAAAATGTTGGGTGACATATGACCTTGAAAAATGTCAACCGGAAGTGACCTGGAATGAACCGGAAGTCGTAATTTTTGCACTTATTTCAAGGAAAAGTACCTAGAAACCTAACCCGAATAATTCAGTCGTTATATTCCACTGCTCTACGATGGCTACATTAACGCCTGAAGGCCTTGTCAATAAAACATCGTCAAATAATTATCGGAATTAGCTCGGGATTTACCTATCTCGATAACATTGAGCTATTAGCTGATTGGCTCTCTCTCGCAGATAGCACCAATCAAAATCCTAGATTCTAGACACGTTTTTATTGTATTAAGAATTCAGGCCCTCGGGAGTGGGAGAGTCGATCACGGGGAGGGACTGAATTATTCGGGTTACTAGAAACCATATATTTTTTGAATGAGCATACATTAACCTATCATTTGAGACCGGAAGTGACATTTTATAAACCGGAAGTAGAATATTTTCTCTTATTACAGGCATAAGTATATACAAACTATATATTTTTGGAATCAGTGTAAATACAGCTATCCTATGAGACAGGACGTTACATTTTCTTAACCGGAAGTTGGCAATTATCTCCCTTATTTCAGACAAAAGTATATAGAAACCATATATTTTTGGAATCAATGTAAAAGCAGCTTTCTTTAGAGACCGAAAGTGATTTTCTAAACCGGAAGTTGACAATTATCTCCCTTATTTTAGGCAAAAATATATACAAACCATATATTTTTGGAATAAGTGTGAAAGAAGCTATCATATGAGACCTGAAGTGACATTAACTTAACTGGAAGTAGCAAATTAACTCCCTTATTTAAATCAAAAGTATATAGAAACCATTTATTTTTCGAATTAGTATGAAGAAACCTATGATTGGACGACAATAATTCTTTTGAAAACCGGAAGTAGCTGCTTATCAATTGTTTAGAAAATTGATGTGGAAAGATCGGTTATTAATTTTTTTTCTTCTTCCGCCACTTTTATTTTTTGCGTGTAACTTTTGTTTCTTAAGATGTCGCTTACATGTTTGGTATATGATATCGCACAGTTTATGCTCCTTTAAAATTGACCCTGTTTAAATGAAGACTTTTCTTTGTAGGAGTTATCTCCCCGAACACTGTTTTTCTTGTTATTGTATCTCCTCCGTAACAAAAGAAGATAACGACAAAATTCTTTTTCATATTTGTTCGTTACATCCTCAGAAATGTTTGGCTGATTTTGATCCAAGCGATCCTATGAAATCTTATAGGAGTTATTTACCTTTACCAAATAAATTTGTCGTTAGGTTTTTGTAACTCATAAACTGTAAGCCGTATAAACCTAGATTCTTTTTTATTTGAGGTCAAGGTCAAAGGTTAAGGTCATGTTCTAAATTTTGACATTCACTTAATATCGCTTCTACTCAGAAGGAGTTATAGATATCGACAAACATTTTTTTACCAAAACGTTAGTCGCAACATGTTGTAACTGGAAAGTTTTTATCGAAATGGTACGCGTCATTTTCTTGTGGGTTCAATGCCACTGAAATGGTAAAATGAACAAATTAACTATCCATAGCTTCAAACTTTGCAGCTTTCATGATGTATAAATGAATCTTATCTCAATTAATCAACAAAGGTCCGCTTCCCTCGACACCCCCCCCCCTTTTCCAACTGATTTTATTTTTTAGGAACCCCAATTCTATTAAATGAAAATCGCTTTAGTCCCGTACATTTTCTGAAGAAATCCTTCCCTGCCTGCAAAAAGCTGCTCCAATTCATGTATATGCAATGCAATGCATGAAGATTCGTGGTCAGCGATTGGATTGGACATCAGTTTACCCTTAAATGAATCAAGAAACTATATTCCCGTTAGCACTATAAAAACACGTGCAGTCCGCATGACGCCCTGACCTGGACTGAGAAATTAAAAATCAATGACATAGACATCGCTCCCGAGTTCGCAAATATTAATGAAATCCTGGAATTAAATTTCTTAACCTGCATTAAAATACAAATCTTTGCTCCCGTAAACATGTGTATGAAAAAAAAAAGCATCCATGATCAGACATTAATTACCTGTAAAAAATAAAATCTATAGTTGTTAAATTATACATTGCATATTTTCACTAAGGCATGTATTGCACGAACACTCAAGGATCCAAGATCAAACATCATTAACCTGTAAATGAAAGAAAATAAAATCCGTTAGCACAATCTTTATACACAGGTCTGGTCTTGACGACATCCTCCTCTGCAAAGAAATTTTAAAAACAAAAGTGATACCTTGTTACACCGTTTTTTAAATTTCATTCTTTATTATCGAAGTTCAGGTGGAAAGACCTTCAATTGTTCTCTGAACAATTGTTTTTTAATTATTTTTTCTTCTTCTGCCGTCTGAGATGTTTTTGTTTCACAACATATTGAAAGGATTTTTTACTAATGATGTTGTACAGTGATGGGGATTTCCACATTCACCCTGTATAACCGAACACTTATTCTTATAGGAGTTATCTCCCCGCCTCCCCTTTTTCTTGTTATCTTTATTTCTCTGAAACCGTAAAAGATTTTAACAAACTTTTTTTTCCAAATTGTTTGTCTAGTCTTAAGAATGTTTTGGTTAAGTTTAACCGAAGTGATCCAATGACATCTTATGGGAGTTATTTCCCTTTAAAAATTTAAAATTGGTGATATGTTGAATAAGTTCATACACCATAAGTCATTGAGGCCTAAAGTCTTTTGATATGAAGTCCTTGGTCCATTTAGAGGAAATTGAGGTCAGGTCAAAGGTCAAGGTCATGTTCTAAATTTTGAACTTTGCTTATTATCTTTATTCCAAAGAAATCGTAATAGAAAATTATATGATGCGTTTGCCAAATAATTGTTTACACCATGGTGCAACTTCAATTCATTCAAGTCGAAATGTTTCGGTCACCCTTTATAGGAGTTTTCTCCCCTTATGTATTAAAAATCAGTATTACTCCTCAATCATACAAGTGAATGACCTGGGATGTTTCGATTTGAGATCATTGACCTATGACCTTGAAATTGAGGTCAAGGTCAAAGGTCAATTTGATATTCTCGATTTTGACCTTTGCTTAAAATTTATACTGGTTCATTAGAAAACCATCAGGTCTTTTGCATGAGGTTGGTAGACATATGACCTTCAAAAAGGTCAAACGGAAGTGACATTATTTTAAGCGGAAGTAGTCATTTTCATCCTAATTTAATGAAAAAGTACCTAGAAACCTTATATTTTTGGAATCAGCTTGAATTCATCAATCATATGAACACGAATGACATCTTCTTCCATTTTTTAATCTAAATTCTTTATTATTGAAAGTTGAGGTGGAAAGACCTTCAATTGTTCTCTGAACAATTGGTTTTTAATTTTTTTTTTTTCTTCTGCCACATTTTTTTCTTGAAATGTATAGTGGTTTCGCAAGATGTTGCTTAGATTTTTTACATATGATATCGAACAGTTATTGCGCTTTTGAGACTGACCCTGTTTAACCGAACACTTTTTATCGTAAGAGTTTTCTTGTGTGCGCATCTCCTTCGCAACCGTTAAAGATTACAACAAAATTATTTCAACAATTTGCTCGTTATATCCTCAGGATCTTTTAAAAAGAATAATTTTGACCGAAGCAGTCTGTATTTAAAATAAGTGAAATGTTGTTGTAACTGGTAAATCATAAGTGATAGAGACCTAGGGTCTTTTGAATTGAGGTCCTTGGTCCACCAAAAAGAAAACGGGGTCAAGATCAAAGGTCAAGGTCAGATTCTAAATTTTTATTTTGGCTTAATATTGCTTCTTTTCAGAAACCGTATAAGATATTGACAAAATATTTTTACTAAACTGATATTTTCGACATGTCGTAACATACATATTTTGGTTAAAAGGATGCGTTGACATTTGATGGAAGTTTCCTCCCCTCTAATACTCATAATAAGCTGTATTGGGATAGAACTCATTTCCCTTACATAGTGGAGACTAAGGGTAATAGGTTAGGTAATATCTTAAGTGAATTTTGAGTGGAAAGATCTTCAATTGTTTTCTGAACAATTGGTTTTTAATGTCTTTTTGTCAAATTGTTGTCAATATAATGGAATTCTGTGCGACTGTCATACAAGTGAGAGGTTTAGCTACCATTTAATAGTTTAATCCACAATTTTCTACATAAGGAAATGCTTGTACATTTTTAATTAGTATTTTGTCAAAGTGAAGAATAATGTGCCCGAGTAAGGAGACATGTCTTCCTGCTGATTGTTACCTTGTGAACTAGCACGTTAAAAATCCATCTCAGCGTGTCGGTCTAGTACAAAGCAGGGTTAATATCTATATTACATTAATATGTTCTCGTCCTGAATATGCATATTAATTTGCCGCTGGACGTAAAGCAGCCATACATCATCACCATCATAATTAGTCTATTGACACAGCATTTCATACAGTAACCTTATTTTTTATAAATGTCAGGTTGTGTGAATAATAAAGAATTAATTATGTGATATTACATATGGACATAATTTACATGATTATGTAGATGAATAGGTAAGCAAATATATACAGATCTAAATCTGACTTTTCACATGAATATAAATATTAGCCTCGAGAAGTGCACACGTAAAAGTGAAGTATTAAAAGACAACCTTTGCAGGTAGACATGAAGTTATTCGACATCATAGTGCTTGTTGCTTTGTTGATTGTGGCCTCGGTTACAATCCAAGCTGGTAAGTAGAAAAAGCAGCAACATTGGTTAAAATGCTTCGTTTGCAATCTTCTCGATTTCTTTTTTCATGGTAATTCTTTTTGACATTTTTATTTACTATTACACATTGTACCTATCTAGTGTATACTTGTCAGTAAAATTACTATGTAGGAATATCAGTTCCATAGATCACGAGGAAATTTTCCAATTGCCGTAATAATAATCCCGTTCTCTGTTTCATGTTCTTAAATGTGACATCACTGAATTAAACTTATCGCCGATTTTTTTAACACGGATGCCACACGCGGAGCAAATTCTGTTTATCTTCCAGAGCACATGAGATCATCCTCAGATTTTGGTTTGGTTCGTGTTGCTCGGTTTTTAGTTTTTCTATGTTGTGTTTTGTAGATTGATGTTAGTATTTTTGTCGTTTTTCGATTTGTTGGCATGGCGTTGTCAAGTTGGTTATAATAATAAGTTTGGTATTATCCCAGGCATAGATTACCTCAGCCGTATTTGGAATTTTGGGTCCTCAATGCTATTCAACTATGTACTTGTTTGGCTTTCTAACTATGTTGATCTGAGCGTCACTGATGAATCTTATGTAGGTTTTGGTTGGCTTCGTTTTGTTCAATCTGTTGTAAAATGAGTGTTATATTTTATATACTGCTGTTCATCGTCTTTCTTTTTTTACAAAAGTGTAATATGCCTATCAGTGACGTATGATTGTGTAATGATAGTGTTTTGTTTGTTTGTGTTTTTTTCAAGCAATGGAAATACAATAATACAGTAGTTATACATAAAAAGGTCAAACATGCTTTGTAATATTTGCACAAAATAAATATTAATTTTTCATTGTTTTAAAGTTGTATGATGTACTAAAACATTATTCGGTGGCCTAAGGTTTTTTATGCGTTTTACATATTGTAAAGGTATTTACAAAAAAACTACCGGATCTATCGTTTATCCTCTCCCCAAAAATATGTTAGTTCAGACTTTGATGAAAGTAATTCTTCAGCAAAATAATGTTCCCACTGTTTGTGCTAAATGAAATTGTACTCAGAAAGCAAATGATTTATCTATCGTATTGTACCAACCCTGATGATAAAAATAGATTCATTAATTAATATAATGACAATTACAGATGACGATGGTTATAGCAAAGGACTTCTATGGCTTAAATTAAATTACGGTGGAGATGTGAGTTGGAATTTTTCTTATTTTCTTATTTATAACAGGATTGATGAAAACTGTTTTCTTTTTTTATTTACTTATACACTTGTTTATTGTACTTCAATAAATCACACGCATGTAGTAATCTGACACTGGTTCATTAGGAATAAATTGATATTTGAAACTAAATTAATATTATTAGATATAAACAGGTTTCATTTTTCCGAGACGAATTTTTTCATTACTTAATCATACATTTCAAAACTATGAATACTATTCGTGATTATGCCAGCAGTTTACCGACACATAATTATGCCACACTGTCTTTCAGTGTTTTTAACATTTGTTTTTCTCTTGATTCTTTGAATATAGAAAAGTTGTGAACAAATTGAATATATTCAAACAGAGATTTTGAATCAACATATTACATAAACAAATACAACATTAACTCTGAATGTATGCAATTCTTGTTTTATCGGCATGGGGTTTTTTAAACTTATATCAAAAGCCAAATTATCATTTTATAAGGTGTTAATAGGCTATTTGAAATATATTGTGCCTGACAAGTCGGCCTTATAATGATTAAATTGACGTTAAAAGTTAAAAAAAAAAATAGGCATATCGGTCATATGTTGACTTCCCGTTCATATTGCTTTCTTGTTAATTAATTTGAAATATAACAGCATTTTAAGACCTGAAAATGCTTTTCATGTTAAGACACACAAGCCTTTTACCAAATTCTGATTTTCTCTTAAGAAAGCGCTATTTTTTTCTTGTTGAACATATTCGATGTTTTTGAAAAGCTTGCGAAGTAAATCAAATGACAATCAAATATTTTATTCTTTTTGTTGCATTGCTAAGAATAACATGAACTCGTTCAGCGTTTAGTTTGCAAATATTTCTATTTTCATATAACAAGTTTTACAGGAAAAACATTTTTGTAATTAATTAATTGCATTGGCTAAATTTATGGAATAAGATATTTGCAACAAAGTAAAATTATGATATATTTTAAAAGTACAAGATTTTTGCTTTTTACCATATTGATACAGTTAATTTTTTTTAGAATTGTAAATTTAGTAAAAAAATAAAGACAGAAAAATGAAACCGTAACAGGAACTATTAACAAATCAACAATTAATGTCTAGTTTAACAGTTGTCATATCTGTCTTTATAGACAATTACAGTAACATAACAAAATTAACCGTTCTGACATAATATACGAAGGAAATATATTCAAAAGTTAATCAAGTAAAGATTAGGGTAATACTTAGACGTATTTAAAACAATCGAAAGTTTGGGATTCAAAGATGGACAAAAAATTTGTCTGATTAAAGAGTTGATGTTTTAACATAGAATATCAGATACATAACAAATTAATTTCTTAAAGTATGCCTTAAAAAACTACATTCTGACTAATTCAATGGAATTATCACACAAAGAGTATAAAGAGTGTATAAACGAAACGTATATAACAAATATGGAAACCACTAACAAAATCTTATCGCACACATTAACAAGATAAATCAATACATTTCATACAATGGACATTTCTTCAAATAAACCTTGATTTATTTTTACAGAATACAGACTGGTTAACGTGGAACGGATGATACTTTGAAAAACAGAAATAGCTTTATTTTATTTAAAGAAATAAAATGATAAAATTTAAAATGTTTTGATACTGAAATTCATATACACAGCTAATATTTGGTAATATGAGAAAAGAGTTCATGGTACTTTTAAAAAAGACTAAGTGTTGAAACAGATACGTATTTAGCAATGGTGTTTCTTAAAATTAAAAAAAAATCTGTTTTTATCCATATTCATACTGACTATACAAATAATATTTAATAGATTTAGATGATCTGTAAACCTGACAGATTCAGAAAATTAGAAACAGGTAATCATAATGTTACAATTGTTAGTACCTACCAAGTTGATATCAAATACATTTAACAACACTTTTATCAATCATTGTTTCGATTCAATATATAGTACAAACCGGGACACTTATTATGAACTGCTACGGAAGTTAAATATTGCTACCTGCAGATTCAATTTACAGGTTGTCATCCATGTATGTGATTCACTGCTACAGGTTGACAATTATACTTTCTTTAATTCTTATCCGATTTTAACTTTTTCTGATCTGCAGATTATTGTTAACGTGTGGTCCGTTTTATCTCAGAATTCAAGTTTTACGTCAAATGTTCTTGCTTTTCTATTAATTTCCCATAGAGAATTAATAAAAAAAAAAAAAAAAAGAGACCATGCCCGATGACGTCACATATAAAGAACACATGTGTTAAATAAAATAAAATTTTAAAAATAAATCTGATTACATCTTAAATTTAAAGTCATAACAAAACTGTAAGTTCGTATTGACAATGTAGCTGTTAAAACATTGATTATCGACGGACTCACATCTTAAATGTCAACAAAACTTTGTCCTTGATACAGAGCTTTGTTTCAGTACTTTCGCAGTAATACAATATCAAGATCGTGTCTATATCATGTATAATTATTTCTACTGTATGTTATTCAAGGCATCCTTAATAAACGAAAATTTTACAAATACAATACACCAAAAGAAAGACACATCAGGCGGAAACCCAGTTAAAATTAAACAAAAGAAATGGAACTCTTTGTTAGAGAAGGTAAAAAAGGCCAATTTGGTAAATTTTAATTGTTTACATCTGTTTCTATGGGCTTTAAAAGTTTAATGAATGTGCCAAATTTAGATTTTTATGCATCTTATGTATGTGTTTTCACTTACATTATGGTATGGAGCTTCGAGATATTTGTAAACTTAAATTATAGATAAGTTTTCACAAAACAGTCGATTGTGGTAGGTGCAAATACATGTGGATCTTTTTTGTGCATAAGAATAAATTCAGCCGAAAAAAAATCCAAAGAAAGATAATGAATTGATCTTTTTAAAGCATCAATTTTCATCTCTGCAACAGTTTTTTTGAAAAAAATCCCCAAAATGGGCAAAATTTCATTGAAAAGAGAAAGTCAAGTACACCTTTTTATGTTTAGGAGTGTTTGAGTTGACTTGTCTGTCTTGAAAACGTATAAAAGAAAAATAATTGATACAACATCTCGCTTCAGATTCTATTATTTTTATATATTTAGGCTCTAGGTTGATATAATAACAATAAAAATTTACAGTACTAAAAAATGAAATATATGGGTCAAGTGAAATACCTTTCCGGAGTCATAACAACATAGTAGGTGTGTTCGAATAACATTTTTTTACTAAAAGTACTTGACGACAGATTTATCGAGTGGATCTTAAAAGTGCATAACTTACAAAAAGCTTCAGTTTTTGTGTGTATTATCTAGGGTAATTAGTCTTCAACCTCTGAAAATTTTTAGTCTGCCCTTCCAGGAAATATCTAATTTGAATTTTTTTTTTTTAATTTTTAACTTTCGAAAATTCCCCCTGACAACCGATCAGACAATAGTTTTAAGATGACCAAATGCATAAAAGTACATTAAATGATGCTAAAAAGAGGGACGAAAGATACCAGAGGGACATTCAAACTCACAGATCGAAAACAAACTGACAACGCCATGGCCAAAAACAAAACGACAAAAAGACAAATAAATAACTAAACAGTAGATACATTTGTTTTTTGAAATACAACTGGCATATAAGGATCGTAATGATGCTATGTGGATAAATTCATCGATTTTCAAGAGCTAAATTCACAGCGCGTCATCACTACAATGGCTTCCATTTTTACGATTATAAATAGGTGGCGTAATGGGGAGATAATTTTGACGAAGAGGAGTCCTGACTGATATAAAGGTCTCCGTACAGCCTAAATTGAAATTAAAATCAAATTTTAAAGTCTACCTCTAATAATAGTAAAAATATTGCCCAGCAACAGCTTATTTTAAAAAGTCAGCTGTTTCATATGTGTGATCTTGCGTTTATTTGAACTGTATTTCTGTCACGTAATCTTTTCATTTTAGCGGTATTTTTAAATTGCCATATAAGCAGGAGGTTTGGCTAGCCATAAAACCAGGTTCAACCCACCATTTTTTCTTAAAATGTCCTGTACCAAGTTAGGAATATGGCAGTTGTTATCAAATAGTCCGTTTCTAAGTATGTTGGCGTTTGAATTTGTTTTTGTTGCAGTTAAGTGTTTCTGTTGTTCCGTTGTTTTCCTCTTATAGCTGATGTGTTTCCCTCGGTTTTGGTTTGTAACCCGGATTTGTTTTCGCTTAAACGATTTATGACTATTGAACAGCGGTAAACTACTGTTGCCTTTATTTATATGTATCCTTTTGTATATCACACTAGTATATCACACAATCTTTTTAAATAAAGGATCATATTTGATAAAATGGTTTTCAACAAATCATAGTGAAACAAACAGAAAAATACCCTTACTCATCATGCAAAGAAAGTAAAAAAAAATAATAGGTTAGCTTACATTTATGTTCCGTTTTAGGAAAGAAGTGATATCTATTCTGATGGGAACTAATATGTATCTCTTGGTGTGAATTTATTCCTTTTTTATTATGAATCCACGAATATGGCATAGTTAGTATTTACCTTTGATACAAAGTCGTCTCACGTACAATCGATTCATTCATTTACTGTTATTTGGATGGGAGGAGGGGCATGGATGGCAGAAGACGCGTACACTGTGGGAGCGCCCAGTCTCGTTCCTTTTGGTGTTCGTGCGATTCTCTCAGTTATTGTTTAACTTGATTTGTATATTCTTAATTTTTCCACTGATCGAAATTTAAAGATGTTTATAACGTTGGACAATTTATAGCTTGTCATATTGTTTATGCATCTAACTATTATTTTCACGCTAGAATTCTACGTTAGTAGTACGTTCAAACCATCATATAATGCATGTTATTTCAATTTTAAACTACACATTTGAAATCAATTGTTTATGTATATATACTAAGTCTCAATAAAAATGCAAAGTATGATATCCCAAGTCTCCTTTAGTTTCCATTTGGATTACAATGCAACATCGTTTTTTCATTGCTTTCTTCGACCATTTGGTGTCATGTAACCTAAAAAGCTTGGTCTCGATTAGACGATTTTCAATTCAGGGATTTGCGATTAGTCACATAGGGATCAAAATCAAAACTCACAAATGTTCATTCAAATCAAATCACATGTTTTGATAATCTTTTTCTATAGTTTATAATGGTGGAAATTAGTAATCCAAAGTGTAATTTTAATTGCTTTTGTGACAGTGTTAAAATGTTAAACGTCTAAAAATCTTAATATTGAAAGTCTCTGAACATTGCTTGAAATGTTCTATAGGCAAATCTGTCCAATGATTGTTATTAAGAAGTCGTCAAAATCTTAGAACGATTGGCAAACTTCTAAAAAAAAGTTCTGTCGGTTTGAATTTTTATGAAAAAAATAACATGTAGAAGTTGCGTTCCAATAGGCACTCATTATACTATAGATGTTGATAGGTGTGTAGAATGAAACAAGAGATTTCTATTATATGGATCTGACAGATACTTTTGTTTACGTTGTTTGCCGTGTAAATATTTTTCACCTTGGTCACTGATTTTGCCAACTGTTTTGATTAGAGCGCTATTAATGAGTACGATTTAGATAAAATGTGCGTTTGGTGTTCGAAATTATACCCCTGGGATATTTGACGAGTTTTTATAACCACTCGATCGATGCCACTGCTAGTGAACGTCTCTATTTACTTTCTTTAGAACTAATGTTTACATTAAATGTTGAATTCTTCGAAATATGAATGTATTTTTAGCTACCACATGATTAGATTGTCATAGCCGTACACGTATTATGTAAATTTTATAGAATTTTCGGTTTAAGTCTTATGTAGACGAAACGTGCTTCTTGGGTACCAAATTATAAGCCGGCATTTTAAATAGTTTCATTATCATAAATTGTAAAAATGCGCTTACATATATTTGCATGCACACGTATAAAAAATGCGGTTTTATCCAACGCAATCATTGGTTTGACGTTGTTTTCAATTTAGACTTGTTTCTATTTTTTCGTTTGGGCTTGTGTTATGTTTGCCTTCGGGTTTATATGATCCGTTCATCCTATTTCGACTCTTCAAAATTCAAGAGTCTATCCTAAATTGAGGTAAATTGTGTGGCTTTCCAAATACCGTTTCCATTCCTAACATCACTGAAGAGACATTAATTGTCGAAATCCGAATATGGTGTACTAATTTTTGCACCTTTTGTTTGCGGTATACCATCTTTCCGCAAGTTTATTGTTTTCTGTTTGGTATTAAATTAATAGTTAAGATCCATTTTGTTACATCTGGTGATCCGTTTATTTGGCAACCGCCAATGGCAGTTAGCAGGGTTTAAGAACATCCGTTGTTCGACCTGCTAGTCAAATGCGTTTTGTTAAAATATACTTTTTAACTTTTTTTGGTCTTTTGGAAAATGTTGTTTGTGCTGTATTTAGACCCCTCTACCAAGAAATTTGTTTTGCATGTACACGTATAAAAATTGCGGTTTTTATCCAACGCAATCATAGGTTTGAACGTTGTTTTCAATTAAGACTTGAATATATATATATATATAATCTTTGCACCTTTGTTTGCGGTATACCATCTTTGCCGGAAGTTTATTGTTTTCTGTTTGGTATTAAATTTATAGTTAAGATCCATTTATTACATCTTGTG